TCGGCGGTTGCAATGTGTACGCCTCGTCTGATCTGCGTTGATATATCTTCGTTTCTGTCAGGCCGCCGCCGATATGTGGCAGCGCCACTCGATATGCGTGCTTCTTTTGTATACGCGTCTTCGTCACACTGTGTGCATCTACTTATCTGCATGATTTTGTTACCTCAGTATATCCTCCTCGTCTGATTGATATTATATGCGAAATGGGTATGGGTACGATGCGGCGCCACAAGGGTCAAGGTGAGGATCTGGGTGTGAACATCAGATACTTCTGGCCATAAGAAACTTGAGTTGCAGCCTATGTTCTGAGCTATTTTGCATGATATATATGTACATGATTGAGACGAGTAGTGAACAGCGCAAGTATCGCAACATAGCTTACGCTTCGGCGTCATCGTACACAAGCAAACCCTCGACTTCCTCAAGCTCGTGATCTTCCCGGTCCGTAGGCTGATCTTCAGAGACAGCATCCTCGTGATCACCCTGGTCCGTAGGCTTCATAGAGACAGCATCCATCTGAACGTCCTCGCCAGTTGACTCATCTTCAGAGACAGCCTCATCCATCTGAACGTCCTTGCCAGTTGACTCGTCTTCGGAGATTCCAATCTCAATACACAATTCCTACGCAGATGAGTACGGTATCGATCGAGGGTGACTTCCGCTTACCTCCTGTGCAGGCGCAAACATCGGAGGAGCATCTGGATGAAACTCAGTTGCCACCAGCTCATTCAATGCTTTTGGACTGGGAAGGTTTTGCCGACAAAGCTCCACGACGTGTCGCTGGTCTAGCTCTGGGTGTGCGTGGCCGTAGTCGGCGATCGTGCGCAACCAGTAGCGCCAAACTGAATATGCTCGTAGCAAAGACTTGACCGTAACCCAGTAAGCGTCGAGACAGCCCGACGTAGCAGCCTCGAGCACTGCCCTGCAAGGGGTTAGGGGCGCGATGACAGGAAATGAGGGTACACACCATTGAGAGGTGACGCCAATGGCGTTGCCGACAAGTATGACGTGTATGCGCTCGCCTCGACGAACACTAGGTCCATCGCGCACGCGATCGTAGAAGTACATAAACGCGACAGGTTGAGGGCCTTCTTCGATGTTGATCGCACGGTTGCCAGCCTTGCTTCGAAGAGGGATAAGATAGTCGAGGTAGCAGTACAGTGCGACCCCTGGACTCTCATCAGTTCGGACCGTACGGCGCGACGTTTGGAACGGCATACGCGGTAAGGTGTGATTCACTGGGGTCGAGGACATGACGATCAAGGACATGGCGAATAGGGAGCAAGCTGTAGACGCACTGGAGTCAGAGCGCGCACTCAGCGGTCTGTACATATATCCAAGGACCGAGAGTTCCCACATTACCTCTCGGAAATTGAGCCCGCACAAGCGATCACCGCCTATCGTGAGCTCAGACGACAGTGATATTTACACAGAAGTTCACCGAACACGTTGCCAATTGTATTGTCCGTTCATATCACAAGCGACGCGTATGGGTAATGATCAGCTCCCCAAAGCGCTGTCCCGGCGTCATAGTACGTGCGCTAGCAGGCGAAATACGCGATGTGATTGCGGACAAGACTGAGAGATCTCTCCAGGCTCAGAGTCCGGCGCTCATTCAACGTAAATGCGTCACCGGGCACGCAGAACTCTAGCTCGGGGTCAGAATGGAAGCGAGCGCGCTCAAGCACGAGGCGAGATCTCTGTGAATGGGAGTGCGAGATTGCAGACGGTGTAGTAAGCTGATAGAATAACAACTGCTCATCAGCGCTCAGACACAGGTTCCGTACCAAACCTTAAGCTTGAAACCTGCACCGGAGGGTGTTCTCAGCCCATCCTCACCGTGATTCGTGAAGAGAGCCGGAGAGGCGATGCGCCACACGACGGCACAGCACTCGGGGCAAGGCGGGCAACTTCCTTTCTGAGGACTACGTGCGACCTCCACGCCTCCCAGCCTATCTATCGTATACGTTGGCTCTGTACGAGTCGCTGCATGCGCCTTTCATATCGCATGGCGGATATACGACCTCGCTACGGGTGGACTTGAACAGGCTCGATCGAAGAGCCGCTACTTCCCGCGTATAAGTTGTCATCACTCGGGGAGGCTCGAGATCTAAGACCTGAGAGGGGCAGGGGTGAAAGAGCAGCAAGTGCGCATAGTGATCGCCGTCGTATCAGCAGGCATGGTCGTTCGATGATTAGCGCTTCTGCAGCAGTCTCCGAGTTGCACGTCGGGATTTGCCGAGACCCGATGCGCCGCGCACTGGCGTGCTTCCCAACTTTCATGACCTCGAGTTCCATGCGGTCTTGTCCAACTATGTCTTTGCGCGTCATCTGCATCAGTGATGGTCTACTGCGGATTTCTGGCTCCTATACTCCTGGTTTTTATGACGAGGGATGACGAACAACGTGCGGGACCCCATGTTTGCATCGCGCTATCGCATAGCTCAATACGACAAATCTCTAGCCTTACACACAGAAGCTGTGTTATACTTGTAGAAGCTCGAAGCTTTCCCCACGCCCACTGGGCCTCAGCAAGGATGTGGGTTTTGAAGCTTCTAAGGTTCGCATTCTAGACTAGCTGAGCACTCTCAATGTAGGTTATTAGTATGCACCGGTCCGCGACCCTCGTCGATGCGCCAAGGCTCTGGACACATATATCACTGCGCTACAGATATGGTGAGTCTATTCCGCGGAGTCTACGCCCTGATAGCTCAGTGCTTTCCGCGCCCGACTCGGCAGCATCTTCCCTTTCGCCCTTCCGGTATAAGAACCCCAAACCTCAAACGCTTGCCAGCGGCTCCCACAGACGCTTGCACATCCAGAGTTGTATCGCCCCATCGACGAGGATCCGTGTGCACTCTATGGATATCGACAATGATTACGATGACCCTGAGGACGAAATACTTTCGGTTGGCAGTCCCATCTCTGCTCAAGGCAACGCGCAAACCCGTGAATTAGCTCCCGACGATCCGGAAACGTGGGCTGACATGGCAAGTGCACCCTTCACTCAATGCCTCAGAGCCATTTCTTACTTGTACTAGGCCGACATCGCTCTCCGTCACATCTACCGAGTATCGACATTCTTCGCCCACCCACAGGACCTAGCGAGTGCAGAACTCAGGTGGCCTGAAGACCTGCCCCGCTCGGAAGTCGTAGTAGCGCACACGATGACCCCGAGTTGCCGCGTCGTGTTAGTCAATGAGGACGCTCACATCCCCGCGAACGCTCGCCATCCAATTACGGCGCCATACATCATGCAGGCCATCGCCGACCTCTATCCTGCCCTCGTCGGACGTCCATCCCAAGGATATACTCCATACTCGCGCGTTTGGAGGTGTCCCTCCGCGCATTGCAACTATCGCGAGGATCTTGTTCGCCTGTCTCACGCAGCCGGAGAAGCGGTATGTCGCGTAGCGGCTACTGCGTCGGAGTCCAACTTCCTCGAAAACGAGCTTGGGTCCGATTTCGCGAGAATGGTCGAAGGGCGGTATCGCGTGCGTCGCGAATTCGTTCGGAATGTCGTTGATATAATCGGTCTGCACCACTACGAGTCCCACCTGCGCAACTCAGGTTTGCGATGCTGCATTCGCGGTCAGACTGACGATGGTCGTGTACGTGGCTCCGTTCGTCTGCATGTCTGGGGCATCTCTGAAACCATCTAGATGTCCTTTACGTGGGAGCATGTTGACATGGATGGCATACTCCAATCGAACTCGATAGACGGCGTGCGAGCCCGCCAACATGAAGAGGCCGCGCGTCAAGCTCTTCAAGAGTCGCTATCTCTGCAAGCTCGCAGATGGGCCCACGAAACTCGCTTTTGGGAGCTCAGCGGTTTTACGGTCCAGCGAGGCATGGCGCGTCAGATGCAACACGACTTCATACGAAAGATTACTCTGCCGGATATTCCCACCGACCCAGGGAGACGCTTCAGCAGCCTTCGGAAATTGACATCCGCTCAGTCATCTGCTGTCTTGGCTACTGGACGCAAGCTCCACCTGGACGTGTGGGAAGCGATGACTGATCGTGAATCCGAGCACGAAGCTCTCGCACAACGCTTAGAGCTGGCAGAGGAAGAAATATACTGCTGGGAACATGGTGACGGATGGTTTCGATTGAAGGATCGTGGTGACGATCCGGAGCTGTACGCTCATTATGATTGAATGTGGTCTATGGTTGAAGCGGGGCATGTCCTACCAGGAGAGTTCATAGTTGTCGGCAGTTGTAATCCGTATTCCATACTCGATGTCCTGTGTACGTTACATATGTATATACCTCACACGATTACCGTTACCCTCACCAGCAGTCGCTCTGCTTTAGTATGGTGATATTCGAGTAAAGGTGTACATAATCCAATGCATGCGTAGACATTGCCCTTGTTATGCCTTTTCACCCAATATCCCGACTCAATTGAATCCGCCCTCCTCTCTCTGACCTTCTCTCCCTCAGTTCGTGGTTCATGATGCTGATATGCATGCATTCGATAGCTGACAGGAGCAGTGGCTTCTAAGGTACTCGCGCCTGACCGCGGCACGGGCGGCTTTGGCACTGATAGGCTCCGTACGACACGTGCTTCCACCTCGTGCTACGAAGACGCGGCGCGCCTGCTCTACCCCTGCGCAGCGAGCTGTTTTCGCACGGTCATGGTACGAATCAAGCTGGCGCAAGCCCCGTCAAAGTTCAGGTGAAATACTCGCTCACCACTGGCGACGGGCAGACTCCTTCCCACCGCCCTCAAGCGATTTATAAATCGCTCTCGGTCGACTGGCGTTTGTGATCTGACCAAACTGATCGCAGTGATGGCCGAACGGATGCCGGGTCTAGAGGAACTCGGCCTCCTCGCCTTGTGCTCTGCCGCGCTACCAAATGCAGCAGGTCGAGCCTCCCAGAGACCAGCCACGCGCCCCGGCCATCATTCGGATCAGCTTAGTCAGAACTAAAGTGCCAGCCGACTTGGAAATCGTTCGAGGGCGGTGGAAGGAGTCTGGGCGACGGGGCTGGATCTCTAGTGGAACCGTGATGATGTCATCATATCTATGAACCACAGTGCGGCGTCCGTGCCCTTCATGCTTGATTAGGGAGAGAGCAGTGGCTTGAAAGATACTCGTCTACTTGTCAATCATGCGGCTCGGAACAGTATTTACTACAAGTGCTCCACACGAGCAGGTACAAGATCGAGAATATAAACGACAAGATAACGGAGAACTGTACGTGTTTCCGGACCCATGCTACCGCCGTGCAAGCACTGAAATCACCGTTCTAGTCTGTTTAACGATAGGTATGCATGTCAACGGGTTGTCAGGGCCCCGACACTCCGCTTTCATCAATACACGCCAAGACCGCTGCCGCCGCATCACGAGTTGCATGGAGGGCACGACCAGTGCGATGTTGGAGACAATCGTGCTGACCAGACGCAAGGAGACGGAGACCTTCAATGCCATGGCGTCCCGAACGGCCATAATGGTATCGTAGACCGCTCATGCTACTGTACCGGCGAGAGCACCCATCAATGGTACACGCGAATGGGCGGAGGCGTTGATGAACTTCGCGCGTCACTTCGCGCGCCTCGTTCTCCGAGAGTTCCTCGGCTGAAAGCCCTCTTTGGGCAAGGACAACATGCATAACTCTGAGTTCCTTAGGTGGTGCGCCAACGCAGAAACCGTTCTCCAGGTGGTGTTTGAGGCTGCTCTTCTTCTTGTACGACCTGGTGCAATTCTTCCGAGAGCAGCGAAACCGGAATGCCGGTGGCGACGGTACGCGTACGGCAGCAGTTTGAGGGAGTGATGATGGCGCGCTCAACGTGCTGGACGCGCTGCTAGAGCACGACTGCATGGGCGTAGCGGGCGAAGCTTGGTTGCCATCTTGAAGACTCTCAGGCTCCCGGTCAACCGATGCAAACGTATGCGCATCCGAATGGACAGGGAGAGCGCCATTGACGGCATCGGGTTGACTTGCACCATGCTCAACCTCGCCACCAACCGATTCAGCCCGCGGGGCTCGGGAGCACGCGCGCGTGAGGGTGTTCTTGACCAGCGCATGTTGGTGCAAAACGAGACGAGGAATCGAGGGAACGTCGCCTTGGAGTTCATCATGTGCGACAACATGGTAAGACGAAGGTGATTGGGCAGCCTGTGTATCTCCTTGTGATCCATGCTGCCTTGGTTCGGTCGGTATAGCGTCACTATGGAAGGTTGCGGTATCCTCCTCTTGGCATTGGTACTGGGCCGTCGTGTCGTATAACAGGGAACTGGGGTATGCCCACTGGCTAGTACCGCTAGGCAGGACAACAGCGGTTTCAGTGGTCGGAGCGTTGCTTGGGCACGTCGTCTGCGGCCAACATAGAGCTGTTGATTCGACGTAGGGCTCCTGAGATACCCTTTCTGAAACGTAAGGCGTTATGGAGGAGGAAGTCGAAGATGAGGGCGAAGACAAGAGCGAAGGAGGGCAACAGTAGACTCTGTTCACGTCGTCGGCCAAATGTTCATTCGCCAAGTCATGAGCCATGTCCAGATGCTTGACAAATGCCCGCAGATCGGCCACATACAAGCCGCAACATGTAAGGTCCCAGTCCTGACGAGATATGCTCAGTTAGCTGTGGCCATAAGACAGCATTCTCGTACCACGCTCACAGAATCGGGGTACGGCATGGATGCAATGTAGCAGGAGTCCACGGACGACGACAATCGTCTAGATAGGAACTTGGTGTGTACGCTGGTACCCAAGACAGCCGGCGGATCTGACTTCTTTCGTGAGGGTTTGCAGCTGAAGTTTCTAGATGGGGGAAGCGGGGCGCCGAAGGCCTGCGTAGTCGGACGCGGCGCGTATAAGTAAGCACTAGCTTGACGTCTGGTTACCGTGACAGGAGCTGCAGTCAGCGTAGTGCTGCCGTGATTGGGGTTAGATTGGGTGTAGTGGCTGAGGTATACAGTTGCTAATTCACGCGTATGGCTCATCCAATGCGTTTCACTTTCACGGGGAAGGAGCCGTGATCAGACGACGTTCATGATGTGTGAGCGACAGCCTGCCGCGCGCGAGGTGAGGAGGGATGCTCGCCAGGCAGCTCCGTGATCTTCGTGAGGCTACACAGACTTTTGATCAAGAGGTCTGCATTTCGTTTTTCGTTCTATGCATCTCAGTGCGAAAAGTACCAGGGTTGGCCGCGCAAGCGGCTTCACACGGCCGTTGGGGTGATACGTCACCGATGTCAAACCTTCTTGAACCTTCGCTTCTTCTGTTGGTTCTCAGCCGGGTACTTACTCCGGCGGGAGGCGCACTTGTGTGCCGGTACACCCCCTCCTACATAGAAAACCTGAATCTGCTTGGGGGAGTAACGCGTTGAACGCCCAGGGCGTAGTCATTGCTTAATGCTAGAATAGGCCAGGAGCATGCGATAGGAGCACTATGGGTAAAGTACGCGTATCCAAGTTGCAAGCGGCTGTAACTTCCAGCTACCGCCGATCACTGCAACGGCGCTCACCACGGTTGAGGAGCTTCGAAACCGAACCATCAAGAGCCATTAGTGATGTGAGAAGTACGCGCGTCGTCCAGGGCAGGCGCTAGAAGGCGTCTCCACCCTTACAGTCACCCTCCATGCAATGCGATGGTCGTTGAACAGAGCAGTTCTCGATGACCCGTTATTATGCTAACCTGGAACACTGTCATTAGTCCCGAAATATGGAGTCTTCGTCGCCATCATGCAGAAGTGGAACTCCCACAAAGTAAGCGACTCTCTGAGCGCTAAATTGTCAGAATGATGTGGATCTCATACTTTTCTAGACGCTCGCACCATCTTCGCTATCAGAGCCATGCGTCGCCTGGGCCACCATCCCATCGCGAGATCCATGAAGAGATGTCCTTGTGCATTGGTCGACGAGGGATGCTTGAAAATCAGGAGGTCTCGCGTCTTCCGCCTCTGCCTCCTCAGGCGGATGACATGAATTATAGCACTCTGAGGTACCGATTTTCAACGTCTGGATATGTGTCCATGCGGTAATGAAACTATCTGTGATTCAGGCACCGCTATCCAGACACTCCTCCGCCTCCGCCTCCGCTGTCGCCGCCATCGGAACTCCCATCATACCATTATCCTCGGGCTTATGCGCCTGTACCGTCGCTCGGACAAGGGGGTTGTGGTCAACCTCACGCACATGATGAGTACGTGGGCGTGCAGCTTGATCATGGCTTGCGCAACTCAACCATCACCATCTAGGGAAGGCGCATCGACGATAACTTCATCCCTTAATGACACGCCACACCAAAGTCGCAAAACGTCGAGCAATCGCCAACGCGTACGGACGCGTACGGACCGAGTTCACGAACAGCGCTACTCCACGGATCGGCTCATCTCCGACGCAGACTGGCCCGACGATGCGCAAGCAGATGAGTACGCAGTTTACCGGGTTCAGGAAATGGATCAAGGGCCTGGTAAAAAACCGCGGAAGTCGTTCTTCACCCGTGCCGGAGTAAAGCTGGACATCGTCAAGATTGATGTCAAGATCGACGAAAGGAGGTATCTTAAGTATGCGACACCAATACCTGGCGACCCAGTCCGATGGGAATGTGTCAGCGAGCGCATGGAGAGCGGCAAGTCGGTGCGGTGCGGTTACAAGTCGAACAAGCATCTTGTCAAACGACACGTCGAGTCGACACACATGAATATTCAGTGCGTAAACGTCGCCTTCTGTAGTATCTCCCGGACTGACCTGTACTAGACGCTTCCAATGTAGTTGGTGTGGAAGGCGAGGCTCGCGCCGGCCTCCATGAACTGCCATCTGACACTCTCGACAGAAAGTTCGCTCAGCGCAGTAATGCCACACAATGTCACATACATACACAGTAAGTGTGAAAGTACTCGTCCATATCCATGCCATATGACTGGTTTCTAGTACGCGCCGGAGTTCTCACGTATGTTCCCGCTGCGAATTGCACTTCGTAGAGCCGTCAAGACTCCGGCAACATCTTGCGTGCGAGCACAGTGACGATGTTTCCGAGAAACGCCAGCGCCGAGGGGTGACGGGTTGATCGTGTAATGGTTGATCATCCGTACCTCTTCCAGTCTGCGCTTGCCTCTGCTAGCGGCACCTGTCGGGCAAGGGAGTTCATGCCACTATCTTCGCATCTGAACCAGAGCAACGCGATAGTATCAGCCTGCATGCCCTCGCGCTAGCTTCGCCTACGCGCTAAGCGCGTCTGTCTCCAAGTAGGCGACATGCTCTTAACCACCACGACCGATAGCCGCCCCGTTCACGGCTTGCCACCTTGGCTCCTGCGGTCGCCCGGCGGCCCCACCCCACCCCTTTCTTAGTCTATTTGCGACCGCCTCTCACTCGGTCTCGCTAGCATTCGACTCATATCCCGCTACCATCTTCCTTCGTCGCTCCCTTCTCGGCCATTCCCCTTTCGCCGTCCGTTTTCCTTCCTCTCTATGACTCGGCGTCATATTGTACAGCTCGGATCCGATTCATTGGTATCATAAGGCCTGATCTTTCATATATCTGGAACTAGTTTTCTTTGCCTCTCTATCACACATCTATATAAGATTTGATTGGTATCAGTGTTCAGTGTTCAGTGTACTCTGAGCATCTCACTCCACTACAAGTCTATCGGCTAAGCTCCTGTGCAACCAAGGATCGCCATTGCTAATCAATCGGCGCCTGAGTCGTAGGCGCTCAGATTTCCCTACGAGAATCGACTGTCTGAATCCTGCGGAATGGAGGGGAGAGCCAAAAAAACTCGCTCAGAACGGCCAGATGCCGTCGGACTCTGGCCGATCTCCAGCCCCCGCTGGCTTTTGCGGAATTCTGCGCCGCCCGGCGCCATTGTAAGGCGACTATACACCAGATCGTCGAATGCTGCATCTACCGAGCTTCCGCCCTGCCCGAGTGCGCCGACAATCGTGCCCAATCAGGCCGTCGACTCTTAACTAGTGCGGTGCGCGGCAACAGCGGCACGCCTTCCGGCGTGGTGAGAAAAACCCCTATCACGCGTCCGAGGCGCGTTTGCGCGGCTCGACGCGCGACCAACATGTTTATCATCTGCACGCACCATGCGTCCTCCGCCCCCTTACCCCCTGGCGGGTCTGTGTCTGAACGAGACTAGCTTTCCCAACGTCTAGGCCGGAGCGAACTACCGACTTGCCAAGAGCTGCCCATTCACGCGTTACTCGACTCCACGTTATTGACCCAGGACCCAGGAACCAGCCGTCAACTCGCTATACTACGGTGTTATCTCTCTTTTATACTCACACGGTTACATCACTAAACTATGTACTTAGACTTTGTATTCGCGAAGGCAATCGCGCTTTGGGACTCGTGGCTCAGGTCTATGTGGACAGGGTTCTCGCCCTGGTACGTCTCCTGTGCCCATTCTCGTCTCAAAATGTGTACCTAGCTTCCCTTTATAGAAACAGGATGGCTCTGCGTCTTCTTTTAGGTTTATATGGTGTCTATGCAACCCAGCCGCATCCTCGACGCGAACCACGAACGCACCGCCGCGGTCTCAGCAGCATGATTCCTGAAAACTATGGCCTCTTCTCTGCTGGCTGCAGACGATGCCTTCCTGCTTAACACCTATACTTCACGGCTGAGATCTGGGACGCTCTCGATGCATTATTGGTGCTCTCGGTGACAACATCATGGTTCGCACCAGTAGCAAGGTCCGCGACCTCAAGCTCTTCAACATGGTCGACAAGCTTACGGGGCTCACCGACTGCGAGGATTAGTCTGGAACGCCTAGGCATGTCACCAAAGATATGGCCGGTATCATCCCTTACTGGCGACAAGACCGAGGAGACCGAGAACCGGCTCGAGGCAGACGTCGAGAAGTTGGCCGCCCGCCGTCTTCACACGCTCTCTATCTACAAGGAGGTTGATGGCGTGGACTCCGAGAGTGATGGTGCTGGCTTCGAATTTCTCGGCCTGCTTATTTTCGACCCGACCCGCAAGCAGACGATTAGCGACATCACGAGCCTCGATGCTGATCGCAAAATAGTCACTGGCGACCGGCTTGTTCTCGCGAAGGAGACTGGCCGTCGTCTTGGCCTCGGCGACCACATATACCCCACCAATGCACTCAAGGAAGGTCCGCGCCTGACATCAATTACCGCTTCTCCAACGAGAATACTCCCAATGGACCATGGATACCGATGATTGTACTTGGGATCGTCCCGATGCGCAAGTTCGAGATCGTCAAGCATCTCCAGGGTCCCGGCCATCCCTCCACCGTGATTGGTGACGGTGCACATGACGCCTCCTCTCTCCCCCGCGTCAACGTCGGTATCACTGTCGAGGGTGCCATTGACGCCGCTCGTGGTGCCGCCATCATTGTCGTCACAGAGCCTGTTCTCTCGAGGATCGTTCATGCCATCCGCGTTTCGTGTATCATCTTGCGGTACACGCGCAACTACGCCATCTATACCTGCGCCGTCAATTTGTACTTCGTCTGCTTCGCCATCCTTGCATTCTGCTACTGTTTTGAAACCCCGTGTCATGGTCCTGATCACCGCCCTCCTTCACGACGGTACCATCTTCACGCTCTTGCTCGTCCGCATCTTGCCCTTCAGGATCCCGAAATCCTAAGACACAACAGACGTTTTCGCCTACGCCATCGCGTACGGTCTCTACCTCACCCTGTCGATGTAAGCAATTTCTGTCCGTTTGTCTTGATCTTCACGCTGACACGTCGTTCACGATCGCGCTTGTCGTCATCATCAAGGAGACGACCTTCTTCCAGTGCTGCGGTCGTCGCGCCCTTCTCCATCGAATTGAACGATCGGCAATCGCACTCGATCTACCACCTCCAGGCCGCCCTTATCTCGCAGGCGCTCATTTTCGTCACCCATTCCCACGAGTTCTTCTTCGTGGAGCACCCGTCGTACACGCTTATCTGCGCGTTCTACTTAGCCAAGCTCGTGCCGACGATCATCACCATCCACGCTGATTGATGCTTCACCGATATCGAGAGTACTCGGAGGCTGGGTTGGTATTGTCTGGATCTGGGTATGTTCGGCTCATCTTGCCTTGTCTCGAGCGCCGCGTTAACTCTATCTTGTGGGACATTGTCTGGTTCCTTCCACTCTACTGCACAAATCTGCCTTGGACGTCACCCTCGTCAACTGGGTCCACGCCCGCTCACACGCACCCGGCCCCGCGTTGCCTCCATAAACCAGAGTGTCGTCGCGTAGTACATGGGGGTTAGTTCTAGCAGCCGTGTTCGCGCCCAGTCCGAGGAGCTCAGTGCTTCAGCTGCATCCAGATCGCACAGGCAGGCGCCATGCTCTCGCACCATCTCTTGTGTAAGACTGTGTTCGTGGTGGTCCGTATAGTAGGTGCACATCTCCGACTTGTACTCTGGGCCTCTCCCATAGATACTGTACGACTTGTCCCAATCCTGTTGATTAATGTCTACGTATGATATCCGTGCTTGCACGTTCCTCCTCTTATCTGTGACTGCTCGCCCTCGACACATCATAATACAAACTTGAGATGATATGCTGTGGTGTACGGGACCAAGAGAGGATATGTCACGCAACGCTAGCCACTGAACAATGATGGATTGAAATACAGATACGACTACGTAGATTGCCGGCGTCCTCGTGTCATGTGCGCACGCCTACAATGCCATAGTGTACGCTCTTGACCTATAGGAAGCGTAGAATGCCAACGTACTGTCGGATGGCTGTCCCTCATGACGGCGGCGAGATGAATCCAATCACCTACTACTTTCTGAGGCCCGAAGCTTGGCACTCTTCTTCCTATGTTTGCCGTCAGCGATATTCGATATACGCCAGTTGGACTCACGCACCACTTGCGAGCGGACCTCTTGTGTCCATCGACGACAGTGTATCCTTCCTGCTGTGTGGCTGCTGTCGGATCCCGTACCCCTCGAAGCTTCTCCTGTTCGACCAAGATACGAAGAACTTGCACAATGTCGGTTGCCAGATATGACCATTGTGTGCGTTCTTCGTGCCCCCTCACGTTCCAGGCCCAGATGAGCGTCGTCACAATGAAGAGGCGGACACCGTCCAAGCCGGGTGCAAGAGCATTCTTCCAGTCCATGTCTCTGTGTGCAGCGATGACAATGCGTTTCATGTCGTCCAGGCGTTCAAGCGGCTGGAATAGTGCCCATTGACGGGGCAGCGTGATGTTGACGTCTGTGTCCAACTTCGCTGGTGTTCTCACTTCACCCTCCTTAGCCCTATCATTCCACCTCGAAGCAAAGCCGCGCCATTGAAGGCCCTCCATGTATCTCGGCTGATTGACGGCCTTCGAACCGACTGATGGCTTGGTCGGCTTCATAGTCAATGCCATCTCATCCTTCCGTAGTCGTGAGTACCGAGAGACAGTTTGTGATCAAATACTCACCGCCTGGGTAGCTTCGAATTCTAGGTATGCTATGCTCAATGCGCATCCCAGGCTCACGTCGACCCGACTCGCGAGCTTGCTTGGTACCGCTTTCAGAAAGTTGATAGTATTGGACTCATCCAACCACACTTTGCGCGGTAGAGCCCTCGCGAGAGCCGTGCGAAAGATTCGGGAATATGTGGCCTAACTTTTCGTCAGACAGTTGTCGGGATTGAGCTCTATCTTCAACGTACCGTATCTACGCTCGGCTGAGCAGGCTGTCCCATTACACCGAATGCAAATGTCGACATGTTCGACGCATCTACTATGGAGGTCGAGGGGCTGACTGCGCGGTTGACCGCACGGTTGACCTGGCACGGGCACGATCAATCACAAGAGTAAACTAGCGCGGGGAGTCTCACAGGGCTGAACATGTTATCGACGCAGGACCCATCCGTGTTGACTCCAGTGCTAGGGCCTTCGGTGGCCTGGTCACTCAAGCCGGAAGCTATCTTAGCTCAGTGAAGTATTATCCCTGATATTGGGAGAACCCACCCGAGTGCGCCAACGGTATTTCATGTGATGTCTGGCCGCTGTTGGTGTGCGAAGGTGTAAACAGCGGCTGCAGGAACTCAATTCTGTCAGCGTCTTCGATGTCGCCATCATCAGTCAAGGTATCATCTTCACAGGCACTCCTGTCACCGCGGTTGACGATACCACCGTTTTCACCATGGTCTCTGTCTCGCGCATTCTCGCTACCTTCGTCATGACGACTGTTTCCTCCCTCACCGCGGTTAACGATGCCGCCGTTTTCGCTATGGTCTCTGTCTCGCGCATTCTTGCTGCCTTCATCATGAAGACTGTTTCCTCCCACACTGCGGTTGACGATGCTGCCGTTTTCGCCATGGTCTCCGTCTCGCGCATTCTCGTTGTCTTCATTATGACGACTGTTTCTTCCCTCACCACATCCACCGCCGATGGCACTCCCGTCCTCTGGGCTCGTGATGGTGTTGGGCTCATGATGACCAGATGATTGGCTCCACTTCATCTCTGTGAGTCGTATATAACAGGGATTAGACTTCGAGCGCGTGAACAGGATAGAAGCAGTTCACCATTCATTATTTGCGCTTGTTTCGCCAGTGCGTATTTGAAGTACGTGCAATCGTTGGGGTTGACTTCTGTATAAAGAAGCTTTGGTTGCCCGGACACATTGCTTACGCCTTCGGAGCTGTACAGCATCTCTGTCAATGGGACAGAATGAAGGTGACAGCGGCATACATCAGACTAGCACCGTTGGGACCGCTTAAGAACATGATTGCCACGCCAGAAGCGCGATTCGCAAAAAAGTGCATGAGATCGCTCAAGAATGACTGCGACGCTTCCATGAATCTACGAAGGTAGTCACGAACGTGCTTCAAACGTAGGAGTCGATATATCTGCTCACTCTATCGCCTCTTCAGGGGATTGCGGATCTGCAGACGCGCCGGCTTCCCATCTCTGTAAGTCTTGTTTATGGAGACGTCTGCACTGCTTGCGAGCCTCCTTCTTCTCCTTCTTAGGCGCCATCTTATACCACTCCGACGCAACTTCGTTCCACGTTGCTACCCGTGGCGGTTGGGGAACGAGCGCAGTTTCCCGTAGTTTGGCTGCGTGTTGCGTATCCACCTCTTTCTCTAGGTCCGGACGGGGCTGTGACGTTGCCCAGACTTTGTACGCTTGCTTTCGGCGGGGCTTGCGCGCAAATAACTTGATGAGTTCCGCTATCTCGGTTGAAGGCTTGTCTGCTACGTCCACTTCGGCTGGCAGCCGGTTCTCGCGCCACACCTTCCTCACTTCCTGTCGTACGATAGTAAGCACACCGTGTCAGGATATGCTCGCGACATGAAATCTACCTCGCGGACTCTCTTGAACGTCAGGTCCCTACGCTTCTTCTCCTCTTCGCTCAGGGTGAAGCTGCTGCTCTCTTCACCCGCCGCTGGAACGGTGGCGAGTAACGGGTCAGACCAACCAAAATGCTGTATAATCTTGCGAGCTTCCTTGTTAATGACTCCGGTAATGGCGTTCTGCGAAGCATGGTCCGCCTTGAGACGCCGATATTCGTCGATGTCCTCCAGCATCATCAGTCTCTGTGCGGCACCCGTGTTAGCTGGGCGACCAGGGGCGCGTTTCGTGACCTTTGAGGGTATACGAAGAGCCGTTTCGTTGATGAGAGGCATCGTTTGCGAGTAAAGCAGAGACCGCCGGGGCGTATTGTTGGCGCAGTGAAACCGAGAGGAGTCGAGACGGCGGAGTGTCCTAAAGTGAGTCTACGACTTATCAGTATCCGTTGGTGCGCTCCCAATTATGATCTCTGTCATGCTTTCCATTCTATCAGCGCCGGTGCTACGCGCCTTTGATGGGCCTCTTCAGGCGAACTGCGACGGCGTCAACAAACCTTCGCCTTGTGGCTGTTGTATCACGGAATTCGATCATGGTCTGGCCTGTGAATCGAGCAATTCACATTCTCGTATCTTAATCAAAAGCCATTCGCGTCGATACTCTCTCGAGACTGACATGATTGCACTCAGCACTGAGACTGCAGGTCTGAAACTCGGGGTTTGAAGACCGCGAGAAGAGTATCACACGCGCACGTTGGCCCTGCTTTCGCAGGAAGCTGTATGCCCCTCTTCTTCCTCGTGTCTATGAGATGATGATTACGACTCACTATTGGTGTCGCCGAACGGGAGGTAGCTGGCCTAGCATCAAGTTTTTTGCTGCTTGGGAGACTGCCGACCGGAGATTCTCCGAGGGCCGACGCCCCGAGGATGTCAGGAATCGTGTCGTAGGTTGTTGTACACGTTGTAGTTTGAAACACACATTCTCTATTCGAGCGACCCTGAGGATACAGAGAAGGAGGCGGACGCCTCAACGTCCTGAAGGCTTCGAAAGAGGTTAGGTTGAAGCCCGAGGCGCTCACTGGTGGCGCTAAGCTCGGGAAGAGCCGCGACGTTCCCACCACCGGTCATCCGATCATCACGCCATCAAGCTTCGCCGATATTTGGCTACGACCCCGGCG